ATGTGAATTTTTCTCATAATGGTTTGCTTGTGCTGTATAAGATGTCAAGGGAGATAATCACAAATGAGCCTAAAAATGGAATATTGTTTCCTATACACTTTTCTATTCCCCGTGTTCTAGATTTCTCTTCCATCACTACTAATTATGGGGTTAATCATAAATGTCAAGGACATCGAAATTCAATTATGTTGTATCATTTTTCAAATTCGTATTTTTATTGGGATATAAAAATCAATTTTAAGCTGCTACCTTTGATCGTTCTAAATATAAATTATGAAAAAGTAAATATCTTCCTTTTCAAAGTTTTGTTAGTCATGCTGCAAAGTTTTTTGATGTCTCTTCCTTTTCGAAGTTTTGGTAGTCGCGCTGCAAAGTATTTTGATGTTATTCATAGTAATCTTTGGGGGCATTTCACCAATTATTTCTTATGATCATTTCAAGTGTTTCATTTATAGATAACTATAGTATTTTACATGGGTGTATTATCTTTGATAAATTTGTGGTGTTTTTCATATTCAAGAAAGTTTTGAGTTAGGTTGAGAGTCAATTTTTCACATGCATCAAAATAATAAGATCTAATATTGTTGGATATTATATGTATCATAAATTAAATAGTTTTTTTGTTTGAGAAAGGAATTTTTCCGAACACACTTTAAGCCACAAAAATATGGGGTTGTTGAGCATAAAAACCATTATCTTTTGGATGTCACTTGTATATTAATTCAGTCCATTGCTCCATCTAAATATTGAGTTGAAGCTTCGTCTACTACTGCCAATTTGGTTAATACACTTCAATCTAAGGTGTTAATTCTTGAGTCTCCACATTATCATCTTTTTCACAAGCATCCTAACTATCATAGTTTTCATTGTTTTGTGCACCTTCCTCCTTCTCATCGCAATGAACTCAATATTCAGTCTATTAAATGTGCTTTTTTAACTATGTTACTTCACATAAACGATTTATTTTCTATGATTCAAGTTCTAACAAATTTAATGTTTCTAGAAATTTTATTTTCTTTGAGAGTATTATTTCTTTACTACTCATATTGAGTCATTTTCAATTTCTCCTCTTCTTGCTACTTTTGAGGTTTTTTTATTCTATGTGTTTCAAACAAGCATATATACAATGTCAAACTTTACCCCATCCTTCTACAGATCCGCCACCTCAGATAGCTCCACAACCCGGATATGAGTTTTTTTTTGAAGGTCTACTTCTCTTGAACCTCCTTGGTGATCTACTAAAGTGTCTCAAACTCATAAATTCTATGTTTTTTTTTATACTTTATCAACCACTTCTATTAAAACATGCTGCTTACAGGCATCAAAAAAATCAAGGAAGATGCTTTGGCTCTTAAAAAATTAACACAAGGGACATTGTTTCATATCTTTCAAATGTCTTCCTATTGAATGTCAACAAGTTTATTCCATTTAACTTCATTTTTATGGAACTCATGATCAGTTCAAAGCTTGATTGTTTGTTCATGGAAACAATCAAGAATATGTGATGGACTATGAGGAGACTTTTGCACCCATAGTAAAAAAGAATATGGTGCAATCAATTGACATAGTTGCTTCACACAACTGGTGTGTTCATCAAATGGATTTCATAAATTCTTGTTGTACCCGCTCCGATCTTACACATTGGGCATGGGTGGCACTCCAAGACCAGTGCTGGCCCACAAGCGAACCCTTGGCCTAGATTTCATAACACATCAGAAGACTTAAACATATGTGAAAAAACTTAAAAGTATTAACTTAGAAAAAATGGCAACTTATGTCTTAAATGTATGCAATATAAAATTTATAAAACAAAAGAAATAATATTATGTGTTTGTGAAGCCTCTAAATAAAGAGCGATGTTGGGACAAGAAACCCAATAACCATAACAATAGAAAAATAAAGAGAATAACTTGAATGATAAAAATGTCCTCCAAAATAAAGGTAGTCTCACAAACTGACTCTTACCTTCTCACTGGATCAACAGTACGCTAAATGCTGATTTTAGTTACATGCGTCTGCATCATGACAGATTCAAGTCAATTGGCATTAGTACATTAAATTCACGGGCATACGATTTGGAATATTAAACAACAACTTAAGCTTGAAAAGGAGTAAGAAGGAACACTTACCTTTACTCTTATCAACTGATTAATAACTAACTCATTCTATATAATGCATTTTAAAAGTAAGTGCAATATAAAAAGAGAGCTGTGAAAACTTTAAATGTATAAAAGGATACAATTAACCTTGAGATATAAATAAAAAAATAAATAAACTGATATATTTAAAATTATAATAACATCTGTAGGAATTTCTCTAACCGGCAATAACAAATTAAGAGCTATAATAATGATTCAACCATCTACCTCATGTTGTCAGCGCATCCTATACCTGGAAAAGGGTATAAGACTTAAACATCGTTATGAATTCACTAGTGTACTATGAAAAGGTTTCATCTAGAAAGTATGACCCTTTTCTACGTATGGTGGCTACATGATTTTTTTAAAATATGATTTATCTAACCTCATGCTCATCCCCAATTCACTGCTCAATACTACTCCAAAATACACTAGCTCTTATGTTTTTCAAACATACTTCTTTTTTGTGTGAGGTTAGTGCTCAAACCATAGCTCAAATGCTATCTTGGGAATCTTAGTTTCCCTTCTTGATTAATTTTATAAAGCTATTACTCCTTCATGAAAAACTAGCCTGCAGTCTCTTTCGAAATTAAATTTTTCCTCACTTATTCAATATGAAAACATTTTATATCTCTTTGGAGATAATTACTCCTTTATATCTTTAAAGAAAGGAACTTAAACTTTTCTTTTAAACGTTGTGAAAGATCCTAGATAACTCTAAAGAATGTTGCTTTGACGTGTTTCCTAATTTGTAGACTTGACTCTTAACTTTTCTTACTTTGATCATCACTTTTGTTGAATTGGATTGTGGACTCAAGGATAATGATCTAATGTTTATGGATGATTTCATGATTTTTATATGTACCTTATAGTGTTTGAAACAACTACGAAACATGGGTACATCAGTTAGGAACAAGTACAAAAAGAAGGAGGATATATGGGGTGCAAAGCGTCCTAGGCGCTCTGAGAGCTGTGGGGTGCAACTCTCAAACACCACAGGCCAATTTGGGCGCATTCCCCATGGCCGTACCGATAGAGACTATCCTGTGGGATATGGGATGCGCGGTGCACCAAGGCCTTACCGACATGCATGTCGACTTTTATTCTCCGTTTTTAATTTCTAACCCCTCTAAACTCACATGGTTATTTCTCCAAAAATATCAAATTTCTAATAACCTCAATACCCAATTGATTAGACCAAGAAAACAACCTAGAAGGACGAATCAGATTAACTCTAGGCATCTAAAACCTCAGCCAACAAGAATTCTCCAATATTCTTCATGAATTTCACTTTCATCATTCAATTTACTCAAAATCGCAGAAATAAAAAAGTTTGTGTGGGTGAGCTAATTTAACACGAAAATTATCTCACATACCTTAATAGGGATTACCCCTGAAGAATTCTACTCGCAACACCTTGGCGTTGTTGGCAAATTCTTGATTTTTCTCCCTTTTCCTCCTTTATTCTCTCTTCTCTAAGCCCTAACAATAAAATTCTTTTCTAAGCTAAACAAAAAAAATATTTTTACCCCACATAAATCTCTAATACAAAATAGACATAAATGGGTAATAAAACAATTTTGCCCTTCCTTATATCTGGAATTGGAATGTCCTCACTTTTGAAGCCCAACTTCTTATAGGCATATCTCCTTCATATGATGTCAAAAATGTGCATACTCGGTGGCGTTGGAAATTTCTCACCAAGATGTCCAATCATATCAAGAACTACACCTGACTCATCTTGATATAGATGTTATGGCCATTTGAAAATGACAAAAACTCACTTTCTTAACCTACAAAATTTTTCATTATTTTTCCTTATCTTTAAAAAGGGATAAATTTTAGTTTCTTAACTTATCCTTGGATATTAAAAGTTACGAGATGTTACAATTTTTTTCCATGGTGATCTCAATGAAGACATTTATATGAAACCTCCTCTAATTTGTTTTCATTACCTACATTAGATGTGTTCAAGTTGAAGCGGTATTCGTATGGATTAGAATAAGAACCAAGATCTTGGTTTGATAATTTCAAATATACTTTGATACAATTTTATTTTGACCAATGAAAATATGACCCAACTTTATTTCTTCAAAAAACATCTATATGTTGTGATCTTCTTTTGGTGTATGTAGATTAAATTATCATCAGAGAAACTGATTCTTTACTAATCACCAACCACCAGCAACAACTTGAAGATTGTTTTCATATGAAAGAATTTGGTACTCTTACAAATCTTTTGGGTTTGGATGTTTAAAATGTTTCTTTGACTGTGTTTCTAATCCAACAAAAATAAAATCATAGATTCCTCCTTTATAGATACTCCATTGGGATTTAATGTTAAGTATCCTCAGGAGGAAGTAAATCTTCTTCATAATCCAACTATGTTTTGACAATTAGTTAGGATTATAAATTACCTTACTATTACTCGGTCAGGTATCTCTTTTGTTGTGTAACAAGTAAGTCAATTTATGCAAGCTACTCGTCATCTGCACTTGGTGGTTGTTCATAACATCATTCACTATCTTCTAGAAACATCTACTCATGGATTGTTCTATCACTATCAAAACTATCGTCATTGACACACACACTAGACCTCCGGTGGTAGTGCCATTACTACAACCCAACCAAGTTTCTTCAAAGAAAAACTAGGTATTTAAAGATACAAAAGAAGTTTTAAATAACTAAATTATTTACCTTGGAACTTAGCAAATGAACTAACACGAGTGGAAATAAAATCCCTAGAACCTTAATGTCAATGTACCAAACTCTACTAGAAACAAGTATAAGAACAAGGGTACAACCCAAAAACTAAACAATGCCTTTATGAATAATCTTAGTACGAGAAGAGTGGACTTAAAGAAAAGAGAATGGAAGGCAGTCCATCAGAACTAGCTCACCCTTGAATTCGATGTCGTCATCGGAAGAGGAACTCTACTCAAGAAAAATAAGATCACGTATAATAGTAGTACACAACCACAATATACAGGAAGGATCCTGTGGATATCCTAAAAAAGTTAAAAACATGTAAATAACCACATGTTTTAAAAAGAAACTATAATATCATCTCCATTAAGTATGAACATAATTATCAGAAGTAGACACAGAACACAATTCAATGGTGCTCTCGTGAAACCCAATTCGATGGTCCTGTCAAGGAAAGCACACCAAACTTTTAGATTGCTAGAACATGGTAATTCAATCAAATATTTATGTCGAGACATGGAAACAAATCCAAAAGTAATGCCAGAACATGGCAACACGAATCAATGTGGCTTGTCGGATTGTGGTAATTCGATCCACATTCACACACCACTATCACAAGTAGATAATCAAGATTATACAATAAGATGTGATTCATAGTGTACAACTATTTAAATTATCTTCATTTACTATTATAGTGATCAATAATTCAACTTTCATATATACATGCATTATAGCGAACAAATTACGAACTATATCACACCAACATTAAATCATAGTCATTACCAGCTCGAATACAAGATTGAATCTCCTAAGGCACATGAATCTTCCCTTTCCAGATTCTTTCTTTCTGTTCAAGGTCTATAATAAACTATTTATATACAATGATAAAAATTAAAGGTTTAATCATCCAGATTATAACAAACCCAATAACATAGACCAAACCCAAGATCCTTATACCAATTTTAGGGATTTTTCCAACATAAATTCTTGATCAAAACCATTTTCAATCGACAATTAACAAAGGAAATAAGTTCTATGAATCATAAAAATGGATTCAGGGAGTTAAAATCTTACCTTTAGCCTTCAAGATGGTTAAAAATGTTAACAACTCATGTAGGGTCGCCTCCTTAGCCCTAAAAACAAGAAAGTGACGAATAACGTCATTAAGGGGTTAATAAGAGAATATAAGTCATGTCTTTTCATGACCAAGGAGAACCCTCTAAGACGTAATCATTTTCTTTGTCCTCGGAGTGGACTTGGAAAATCCTTGAACATTCGTTTTATCATATAGCAGGTCAAAATGAGGAAAATAAAAATTTTTTGCATAGTGGGTAAAAATAGACCTCTCACATATCATATTTGGAGATTACATAGAATCATCGCTCATTGAGGCTTACAAAACCTCTAGCATAACATAAAATAAGAGTCTACAATCTTTAATCACATATGAACCATCAAAAGAGTATTACAAAGTTGGGCATAATCCCATACATAAATACAATATACCATTAAAGGTTTACATCAATAGTCTGAATAATTATGGAACGGACCAATTGTCTTTAGACACAATAACATCATATGAAATTACCATGTTTTCTTGCACATGACCAAGTTTTCTTGCAAATGGCCTCTAAGTACTTCAATGAGCCGAACCTACATATTTGTACAAAAATAAAGAATAATGGTTAATACATCCACTTATACTAAGTATAGAAACATATGCATGTAAAACCATTGAATCATGCTGAAAAGTTTTTCTACAAAACCATGCTAAGTGAGTTTGAATGACTTTATGCACATAGAACAACATTTTAAAGTCAATAGGCATAGCATCAGCAAGAAAAGTTCATACTATACATAAGACCAATATCATCATAAAGACATATCAACATGAATAACTCCAACATAATGTCATAACAATAATTCATGTACAAGAAATCATAACCTCAATAATATAAGACCCTTACAACCAATCTCATCCCAAGCCTAGAGGTGCAATGCTCATGTGAAGCCCCATAACCACACATAATAAACTAACCAAGGAAAGAGATCATAAGTAATGCCTTACTTTATATAACATATTATAATGTGTAGTCATCGTCATCTATTCCAACATAGACCAATAGCATGCCTATCAATGAAACTAAAATCATATAGTATAATAAACATGTAAAGTCAACATATGAATATCATTCTTATCATAAGAGCATAAGAACAACATTCTAGGACTCCTCTAAAGGGTAACATATGCAATGTATAAGTAGAGTCCCATGCCCCTACCTATAATAAGTAAATACCATTCAGTCACCCTAGTTTGTGTTCACTATATTACTTCCATTCATTTATTTTGCTTTCAAGAACAATCTCCTTAACCGACAATAGATGATGTGAGGTAAACATAGATTACGATGTAATTGGAACCTAGATCAAAAGAAGATAATCTACTTGCCAAGGTAGATCCACAACATGAACATAACATTCAAGGTGGATAAAGTAGGTAATATTCTTATGGGGGAAACATAGTGTAAGAACTTGGAGACATTTGTTGGACCCTCTTTATGCACAATTACATTATAGTTACCATTTCATAATAACCATTTTAAACCTACCTTACTACGGTTGGACGAGACACCTCTCATATCTAGTTCGCTTTGTGCAAAGATAAGACCCTCTATGAAATTCCATTAAGTCATTCTCAATAATCATAACATAATATAGGTCATATGAGACTTACCCCTGATATATAATATCATTTTATCATTAGGTATTGAGTGAGAATATCCTTTCAATACAACCCTTTATGCAGTGATATAATAACATCATAATCATATTATAGTAAGACACACCAAGTGATTCACATTCAACGTTGTATCTTCATAACCTTAAAAAGATCTCAGAGTTCAACGTAGTCATGGATTTCGATCATAATCATCAATCATCTTCTTAATCTAATCACATATAACACTTCAATTGAATACCATCATAAAGCATAAGCCATCATCATGAAAATAAGGAATTCAATATCAAAAAGTCTTACCAAATAGTCTCCATAGCCTTCATCAAGATATTACCCTCAATGCATAAAAATTACAAAATGAACCACTCATAATCATAATAACATATTGAGTTACACAATAACATAACCAATTCCAACAACCCTAATAATCTACAAGTCCAATTAATAACTAGGGTTAGAGAAAAGGGTTCAATATAGATTTTTTCATTGAACTAGGTCAAAGATTACGAACTATAGAAATTAATAAATAAAAAATCATAATATATAATGCATAATCAAATGAAGTCAACATCAAATCCAATTGAAAAATAATCTACGAAACTGGAATGAAACCCATCTTTTTTTACATCTTTTAAAATACATTTTAAAGAGTCTCTTGGGGACAAAAGATCCCAAGAGTGAAGATCTTCCATACCTTAAAAATCCTTGAAGATTTATTGAATAAATATTTAGTCTTGGATCCCTAATTAATCTTGGAGTTGATCTTCAATGGAGTCTTTGAATAGAGAGAGAAAGTACATGGGTTTGGGAAATACGGGGTGTTAGTTTAGTTTAATGAGGGTTAGGTATTATATAATATTTTGAATAAATTAATTAATTACACCTTAACCCTTAATTAATGAATTAACCAACTTAAAATTAACTCCCTAACTTAAAAACTTTTTGGTTAAATTGACCCCCCGACCTACGGGTCGTCAACTGGACCACGGACTAACCTGCGGGTCTGTCATTTAGGTTAGAGACAATTATTTTTGTCCTTTTTTTGTCTAAATTTTGTACAACCACCATCATCGATGTGTTGTTGATCCATTGATGCTTTGTCGATTAGCTCGTTGTTTGGGTACTGTCAAATTGATAGTTTTGGGTCAATTGAAAGGGTCCTCTTCAAAGTCAATTTAGGTTGTTCTTAGGGAGTTGTACCTTGATGTTTCTACACTATACACAATATTATATATGTTTAACACTTACTTACAATATTTAATTAGATTCCGACTCCAAAGTCCATTGAAATATGCCAAAGAACACAAGCACGCATTTCACAATTCATCAGCCGACAGGGTTGTTTCTTAAACATTTTACTCTAACACTTCCTACATAGATTCAATATATTATTGTAGACTTAGAACAGTGTTTTATGTCTTAGTTAATCATTTGAGGCTCTAGACTATGTTATGGACTTTCATACTGTTACATTATCCGACCATTGGGAACATTCGTCGCTGAATGACTCAAGAATAGCAGCCCAACAAACAAAAATATAAACAACATGTAATAATTATGAGTCACAACCTATAGGAGTTATTCAAAACTCCACTCAATACATAAACATGGAATATGTACATAGCAAGTCAAATCACAATTTACCACATATAACAGCTCAACACACAACAAGAGGAACTACCTTCTTAATCTTTACATGAGCAGAACATGATCATAAAGAGTCATTTATGCCAACTTCTTTAAAAAACATAAACATTCTCAGTTCCATGTAATGAAATCAACAATACACAAAACACGAATAAGTACAAGCTAAACAAAAGAGCAATTTTACGTGGAAACTCATTTTGGCATGAACCTTTACCATAATTATGCACATTTTAGCAAACCAAGACAAATTAATATTTATTCATTATTTCATTTTATGAGGATTACTAACCTCAACTTTGGCTAGAATTTTGACGAAAAAATGAGGATAACGGGACTTCATGTCGGCCTTAGGCTCACATGTTGCTCCTTCAATTAGGGGTGTCTCTATAGAACTTTGAAGGAGACCACCTCCTTGTTCCTCAACTTCATCACTTGCCAATATAAAAGTTCCACCAAAACCTCGTAATAGGAAAGGTTATCTCCACACCGAAACCTTTAATAGGAGAATGGACATAGGGTCATCAATACACTTCTTAAGCAAGGAGACATGAAATATGGGATAAACTAAAGCTAGTTAACTAGGTAATTTCAACTAATATGAAACTTTTATGAAACGTTGCAACACCTCATAGGGATTTACATACCTGAGACTTAGCTTCACCTTTTTAGTTAATCTTATCACCCCTTTCATAGGTGAAATCTTCAAATACACCATATCCCCTTCTTCAAATTCAATATCTCTTCTTCTATTGGCGGCATAGGATTTTTTTAGACAATAGGAAATTTTTAACCTATCTCTTATCACCTAAACTTTTCTCCAATGCTTCATAGATTATTTAGAGACTAACCTGTGAAGGTTTAACAACCTCAAATCACCGAACCGGATGCCTACATATCCTACCATAGAGATGGTTGATTGTGAGACCATGATGATGGATATTAAAGAAGATTGAGTAAGTATGTAAGATCCTAAACTTTACTTCAATTATATTGGTCTGTGGTTGATGATGTAGTTCAACTGAAGAATGAATTGTGATTAGCCAAAGTAGGTGTTTGTATGATGTTTCATTCAAATGTATTGACTATGTTATTTTAAGATCTAGTGTATGATTAAATGATATAAGGTTGGTTATGAAGTACTTATGTGCCTTATTATGACATGATCATGAAGTTATGCTAATCTCACATATGAGGGTAGCGATCAAATGATATTCTCATGAAATTCCTAATGAGGTAATAACAATGACTATAAAAGGGATTAGACCCTATTATCTAAATTAAGCAAATGATTGAGAAAGAAATACATTTAAAAAGGGACTCTATCTTAGAACCAAATGAACTTGTATATGAGGGGCGCCACCTTCTGAAGGAAGGAAGGTATGTTTCACCATAGTCCTCGTGGGGTTAATAGCCTTATAGTCCAAAAGAAGCATACATTTATATTTTTAATGACAACCCCCAAGCTCCATAAACTATTTTTCCACCATAGGAATACTATTTAGTGGATCCACCTAGTTACTATGTTCATGTTTTGTTATACTTTGACTAGTACACCACCTTCAATAGGTGTAAGGTTTTACAACACCCGATTCCACACTTAGTTCTTGTTGTCTATGTCATTTAAGACAAATGTTCCTAACAGTAAAATAAAGTAATGGACTATAAACTAACTAGGGTGACTTGAGAGGTTTGACATAGCCTCAGCAGGGGAATGAGACTCTACCTATGCCTTGCACTAGTTATCCTTAAGGAAACATTTCGGAGGTTGTTCTAATGTTCTTATAATGAATATATTATGAATATTCCAACTTTACATGTTGATGATTCTATTTGTTGTTAGTTTTATTTATGACTATGTTATTTGTCTATATTGCTAAATGTGATGATGACTATTATTGATGTTATGTTATATTAAGTTGGATGATTTTTACGATCCTTTTTTTTTTCTCTTGATTGAGTATGGTTATGATAATTTTCTTGTTTGTTTCACTTCTAGTCTTAAAGATGGGTTATGGGTAAGGGTCTTGTTTATGTTATGATGTTATGAACTCCTATACATTTTTGTTGATGTTATGACTTGATGTTTTAGTTGTCTTTATTATGAACTCAATTATGTGGATATATATGTTTACTTGACAATACTTGTTAATGTTTGTCTTGTGTTGTACATGGTTTGAACTTTTGGATTATTTAACTATTGGCTTATATTAGTTCTTGATTAAGCCTAAATTTTTGCAAAGTACTTTCGCATGGATTTTATAAAATTTCCTCTTTAGCATGAATTAATTTATGTATGTGCATATTCTCATACTTAGTACTAGTTTGTACTAACCCCATGTTTATGTTTCTTAAAAATTGTACGATCAAGACGTTGAGATTATAAAATTCCTTTGATGATTACTTGGATATTTCCCAAGTGTTTGATAGTTCCTAAACTTCCGAAAATGATGCCACTATCTTGCTTTTGGATATTTTTTATTCTTAAAGACAATTTAGTTCATTATTATTCTTTGTTGAGTTTGTATATGCCTATATAAGGCTTTATTGTTATGAAGTATGGGTTGAAACAAAGATGTTTCATTTGACTTAGATGGTTTAATATCAGACATATTCTAGACTTCTTATGAATCTATATTGTTATATTATGTATGTGCAACAAAAGTAGAAGACTATCAAATCTTCCTATATGAAAGATCTATGCATACTCGATATGAATATATTATGTGTATGTAGAGGTCTATGTAAGTCTCAATGTTGAAGTAAACGGAATATTTTAAATTTTCCGCGTTTTTAACCTATCAATGTAATGATGTATGCTAGGAGGCTACTCTTAGTCCTAAAAGAGGACGACGACGCAGGATACGTCTAGGGGATGCTCCCCGGATCAGTCAAACATGTTAAAGCCATAATACATAATGTAATGCCAAAGAGGCCACATTGTTTCACAATCAATAATTTAATGCTTATGATGCCACATTATTCACAAGTATAGAACATAAGCACCGCCACAATAATTGTACCATACCAAAAATCATTATAATCTATGACCTCCACAAACAATATAGATAAGGTTAGGTCAACATACCACCATTCCAATCTCACAACTCCTATCCATAGCAAAATAAACCAACTCAATATACAAAGGCTCTTACCAATAGCCATAGTTAACAATTCAACCCAATAATCACAATATACAATTCTATCATGATTATTTCATAATTCAATAGACATAATCAAACTACACAAGAATTCACTATTATTAAGACATAGACAAATCACACATAAAATAGTCACAACTAGGGTTTCATGAATTGCATGGGTTCATAGAGTTTATAGTCTAAAAAAATTTAATTAACATCAATTTAATCATAATACATTGACTCAAAACGTTTTATGCAAGAACCCATGGCTAGATTACAATTTCGAACATCATCCTTTTTACAAATCTTCGAAAAACTCTTTGATTAATTGATCCTTGAAAAAATAAGAATGAATAATGAAAACCTTACCTTTATTGATGCTAGAAAACGAAAATTGAGATGGATTGATTGAGAAATCCACTTCTAAGATCTAATCTCCCTTCAATCATCAACAGTGTTCTAGAGGTTTTGGGTATTGATTTTTCAAAGTGATTTAATCTAAATGTTTGACTTATAAACCCCACTTAATATACCCAAAATAACTTATAAGAACCGTCCAACTAATTTTAAGAAGGCTAAGTGAAAACCCCAGAATACCATTAGGCTGGCCGAGAGACCTTCAGAAGTTGCAGGTTTCATCGACGAACCAACACTTACACGACGTCGTCCCGTCTACAGCAAGTGCTGGCAATGATAGTTTGGGACAGATCCTGTAAAATGGGACCTCAATCTCACTAGACTAAGTATCCATCGACCCCACCACCTACGGGGGGGTCAACCAGTCTACTGGCGGTTGATTGCCCACCGTAGGTGGACCTGTTTGGACAGTCTTGGCTCTTTAATTGAGTCCTCTTCAAGGAAACTTTTGTTTGCCCTTTAGGAGTTTTATCCTGACGTTTCCGAACATGAAATAGTCATGAACATGTAAGGAACCCTTCACATCAATCTCATCCAAACGAACACGTAAAACTCGACGAAAGAAACTAAGGCACACAAGTACACTTCAAGGACAACCT